TGTTGTACTTTTAGTACTTCAGTAAAGGGCCGTCCCTAGTAGGCACTAAAAATCATTAAAAGGCCATGGTTTCCATGGGCCATATTTTTCCTTATAGGGGAAAGAGGCACTAAAAGGTGGCACCAAAAGCCAAGGGAAACAGGCCCAAAGCCTTTCAGATGTTCACGTGGTACATACTGTCAGATCCTGTCCTCTAGGTGATGTCCTTCAAAGCTTTCTGACTGAGTCTCCAAGCTTAGCTGTAATACAGCAAAGTCGTAACCTGGGATGCTCAGATGGGCCTGGCGTCACCACATCAGCAGTGTCAAATCCTCACGCTACGCGTATGTAGGCTTGCCCACCTGAAGAATTGTCTAACTGTGTTGTGGGTGGGGGTGGGGGTGCTGCAGCCTATGTTGCGACGGGACTTGGCTGATGATACATGGTACGCGCACAGTGAGTTGAATGAGGTGCGATTACCGATGGAATGATTACAAGGAGCAAAGCGAACTGATGAGTTGTGCTCGTGTAATAAACTTCACACTATAAAAACGTTCGTCGTCTTGTACCTGGTTTGTGCCTTGGTGGCCGAAAGGCCGACTTCTTCGCCTGGTTTGCCTGGGATGTATTCGGGTAATCCTGGGATGCGTTCACAAAAGCCTGAGCCTTGTTGTCCGAAAAGACAAACACGGCAAAACAAGCAACATAAAACGTGCTCCACTCCCTCCTCTCCCTCCTCTCCCACCTCTACCCATTCTGCACTGGTGAGTTCACGCTTGTCTCGACACCTGTCAGGAAACTGCTAAGTGTTCTGCACTAGAACCTCTTACTGACAGCTCCGTGCTGCCATTACCGTGCAACTTGGCTAGCACCAAAGCCAGCACCTTAGTTCACTCAGGCGCTTCACATGTTCTCTCATCTCTCGCCACACTCATGCAAAAACTAATTTTACAGCCCCACGCAAGCCATGTAGCATCTTGCGTGCTGAGACGGCGCAAACAGCGTCTGCAAGCAAGATCAGGTACACCTGTCGATCCGTACCCAAGGGTTCCGCTGCAAAATCGTAGCGCAGGTCATGCCTAAGCTAGTCGAAGGCATGGATCTCATGCTTGGTAGCCGCTGGATGCGTGAACACGGTGCAGTACTCGACTTTGGCCAGGGCACCTGCATGGTGACACGCCATGGCCGCTCACATCCGCTGCAGAGCCTAAACGAGCCGCTGTCCAAGGGTGCTGCGGTTATGAATTATGTAACTGTGGTAAACCGCACGCGGTAATGTCACCTATCCCCAACCTGGTGTTTATGAAGCAGATCAAAAAACTGCAAAACAGTGCTACCTTCATGACAAGCGACGACATCGCCCAACTAAACGCCATGGACGCCACCTCGGCGGCCCCGTCCGACCCTACCCTGGTGTCACCAGCAAAACTGGAGGCCTTGCTGGTTGAATACAAGGAGGTATTTGAGCCCTTAACGGGCCTGGGCCCTGATCTCGGCACTGTCCACGTCATCGAGCTGGAACCTGGCATAAAGCCACCATACTCCCGGCCATACCGGCTTTCACGACTGGACAAACGAAGTTGAAAAAGCAGCTCTCTGACTTGCTGGCCAAAGGATTTATCGAAGAATCGAAGTCACCATTCGGTGCGCACGTCCTCTTCGCACAAAAGAAGGACGGCTCGCTTCTCATGTGCCTTGACTTTAGCACTCTATTTAACAAAATCACCATAAAAACCGGTATCCACTTCCGAACATCACCAACCTCCTCAACACACTCCAGAGCGCGAGTATCTTCCCATCCCTCGTCCTGCAAAGCGGCTACCATCAAATTCGCATCACGGAGGAGGACATCCCAAAAACCAGCCTCATGACACCCTTCGGAACGTTCCAGTACAAAGTGCTGTGCTTCGGGTTGACTAATGCACCGGCGACCTTTCAAAAGGTCATAAACACCGTGCTCATCGACGCTTACTGCGTTGTCAACCTAGATGATATCCTCATCTTCAGCAAAGATCCGACCAGCCACCTCGAGCACATGCGTGCCGTACTCGAATCCCGCAAAGGGGCGTGTTAACGTGCAACGCGCGAAAAGTGCGAGCTGAACAAGCCCGAAGTCAACTTCTTAGGCACCTTCGTAGGCCAGTATAGACTGAGGTGGATCCCTGAAAAATTGAGGCCGTCAAGAACGACCCCGTCCCAAAAGACAGGACGGCGCTGTGCGGCTTCCTGGGCCTTGCGAGCTACTTCCGCAAGTGCACCCAAGGGTACTCATCGCTAGCGACTCCACTCACGGCCCTCACCGGCAGCAAACGGCTGACCAAAGGAAGAACTTGCACCAGCAGGCTTTCGACGGCATTAAATACGCCCTCATCAACGCCCGTTGTTGCACCTTCCTGACTTTACCAAACCCTCCAAAGTCGTAACTGACGCCAGCATCTACGGCACAGGTCGGTGCACTGCTACAGGATGGCCACCCCGTCGTCCACACCAGCCAAAAGTTCACACGTGCCCAAGTCAATTACACTACCACAGAGCAAGAGCTCCTACAAGAGTAGCGGCCGTACCTTGAGACCGCACAGGATACCTTCATGCTGGTCACCGACCACCGACTTTTTATCTTGCCGTACAATAGTACGGGTCGTACATCGGATGGCTACGCTGGTGTATCGAATCCGGTGTCTTTCGACACCACCTTGACTGGATTTGATCAAAAGGATATACGTTGCGCTAGGTTAACAAAAGTTGTTTTAGGTTCTGAATATGCGGGGCCTGCACAAGTGTGGACTGCACACTTATGGCTGGTTGCAAAACAAATTGCGGATGCGAGGCGAAGTGCACTCTTGCGTACGGCTTGCACCTTGCAAAGTCGCAAGTCGCAAGTCGCGAGAAATCGCCCATCTTTATACGCGAGCGCATACGTGATTCGGTTTTCCGCACGTGTCATATCCGGCACGTAAGTGTAAATGCATTGGAGTGGCATGCGGCATATATGGTTTCGTCTGCCTCAGGAACGCCTGGCCCATGGCCACACACAAAAGGAAATGCCGAATCTTCTTTTCGGCCTAGTATAGAAATGCCTTCGCCTGTCAAGGAGAGGTCTCAGTGGTATCCTTGTTGTCGCCCACGCCTGCTTCACTGTAGGCTTCTTCTCAAACACGCACGCTGGGCCCTATGCCCAACGGTTTCGTGATATAGTTGACATTCAGTAAGCTCTCGAGTGGTAAATCTGTGTACTGAGAGTTCCGGACTGAATGCTAAAGTGTGACCGATAATGAAAGCCCTTATGCATTAAAAGGGTGAAAAGATGTAAGTTGCAACGAAAACCTGTTGTACTTTTAGTACTTCAGTAAAGGGCCGTCCCTAGTAGGCCACCAAAAATCATTAAAAGGCCATGGTTTCCATGGGCCATATTTTTCCTTTTAGGGGAAAGAGGCACTAAAAGGTGGCACCAAAAGCCAACTGAAACCGCACGCTACGCGTAAGGTAGGGCTTGCCCCAAAGAGGAATTTCCAAAGTCTGTAATGGGTGATTTAGTGTGGTGCATTGATGGAAGGAAGGTTGTTAGTTAGTTAGAAGCATTTCAATGCCGTACCTGTTTATAGTGCGAATGTGAATTATTTGACATAAATTTTCGAAAAGGAATGGTTGAGAGGAATACAGGGTGCTATTTTCAGAAGTCCTGAACGATACAGTTTTACATAAATTACCGCGGCCGAGGTAATCGCTCACTTGCATGTCAGAAGTGTATGAAATGACGGGGCATCAAGGATGTAATTGGTGTGTCGCGCTGAAACAAGGGTTGGACATTCTAACAAGAAATGCCTGTTATCCCAAATCGTCGGCTGCTGGCTACCCTAGCGGACACGCTAGACGTGCTGCGGCTTTTGAGTCAGAAGCCAATACACTTCTTTCACACATGGTCACTTTTTTGCTGTAATATAAAATCTAGGATGAAGAGCCAGGTTGGGCAACATGCAGTCGTATTTGACACGTGTTTATGGCTGTGAGCGCCTGGGTTGTTGTCATAAATATAAGGTAAAGGAATAGCAATTGGTTGATGGTCTGTTACACCGTTTGCGGCACATATTCATAAAGGACGAGTACCGAGTGTGACTCTGCCGTAAAAAATAGCGCAGCGGCTGGTTTGTGGCTTGAGCCGTTCCACGCCAGCTGTGATGAAATTACAGCCCGTGTTAACACAACACTGATGCGAAAATATTCCGAATCGAATTAAGTTAGAGCCACGCGGGAGGCGCCACCAAGAATGACTGGTAACACTACTCCCGGAACAGGCTATCTCTACTTACTTGGCCTGCCTAGCATAGTCGCGTGGTCTGATACCTGTAACTCCCAAATTATGATTAAACAAGAAACGCCATCGGGGATTGTCATAAGACAGGTGGTTCACTTACACAATCATAAAACCGAGGTATGGGAAGTTCATGTACGTCACACTGTGCCGTTCGGGCACCCATGGACCCGACGACTACGGGAGAGATTTGCCACACTACAATGGCCGAGACTGAGAAGGTCGAGAGAAGGTCGGCGATCACTATTTATCCGGACCACACACAACCGAGGCAATAATTCCAGACCACATGGCAGTATCCACAATTGTGATGTGGTTTCCTGAACGCTCCTTGACGCAAGGTAAAGCAAATCCACTGATTGCCGCGGGTGCGATGAAAAACCAGGGCGGCGCATCCCGTTGGACCCGTCAAAAGAACATCCACGGTAGTCAGGCACCAGAGAGTTATTTGTTGAAGCCATCCTTGCCGCCTGTCGTTGCGTTGTGTCGGCGGCGTCCAGTAATTTGTTGTGTTGCGGTGGGTGTGACGACGGTGACGGCGGTCGTTGCTGTTGCCACAGGGGTGTGCGTGGCCAATTCGTTTGGCGTCGGGGCGGAATCTTGGCCCGTTCCGAGCATGGAAACGGCCAATGGATCCGCTGCCGCGCTGTACTGAAGGATGTTGCCCATGTTGATGAGTCATGTTGTACTGCCTGCCTCATGCGACCCAAGACTCGTTCTAAGCCGTTGGCGTCAAGCAGGGCGCGATAGAAGTCATGATTGCCGTTGTTCCCGTGCCGTAATTTGCCCCACAGATTTGATGCAACTTCGTAAGAGCGAATGGTGACCTCGTAGTTGTTGTTGCCCAAGATAAGGCAAGCCAAATGAGGCTGCAAGTCGTGAATTTGTGCATCTGGTCGCTTGTTGCAAAGGTTGCAGATGTTGTTGAGGATTGCGCCCCCGCAGGTGTTGTCGGTGCACCTGAAGGAATTGGGGTAATAGCCGAAATGGGTGCAGTTTCAAACGTGATCAATAGTAAGAATTATTGAGTGAGCGGCTGGGTGTTGGAATTTGCTAAGAAAAATCGGGATGTGCAGATTTGATATTTACTTGGCGTGGCAGTATTTATTCAAGGGACAGACGAGTCCATGACCACATGTGTCAAGTATAAGTACCTGTAGAACAGGATGTCTTCCAGGGCTTGAATGCGATTGATGATGTCTTGGATGATGACGACGGAGCCTGTATATGTGCCGTCTGCAAGGTTGCTGTGATTTGTTGCCTGCGCTGTGTTGAATGCCGCCTGCACGTTGTAGCTCTCCGGCATGCAAGCATCTAGGAGTTCGTTGTCCTTGTCCACGTTCCCGTTCAGAAGGACGTGCGTTTTGTTTGTCGATTGCGCCCGGGATACACCGTTGAACTCTGTGGGAAGTGTTTGACGTGGGAAACGGGTGGGAAATTATGAATCAATAGCTGCTCGCAGCTCATTAAGTTTATCTGGGACAGTACTTTTCCATAAAGGTCTACTTATCCCAAGTGTATAAACGCCAGTTTAGGATAAGAAATGATAGAAAAGGTTAGACATATTCACGGGGAGAGGGCAAACACACGAGCTCAGGTTTATGCTGTACGAGGAGACGCTAAAAACAGATATATTTATAGAATTTTTCGGAGGTTAGTAAAATACTCCAAGAAAAAAATCTATGGCAAATCCCCGTCCTGATATTAAAGAGGCAGATAAGGAATGGGCGATGGGCTTGGCACAGAGGAGTATAAACTTTGCTATGGAGAGTATTGGAGAGAAATATATCCAGCTGCAGAAGATCCTTGCCTATCAATAAAAAAACATTATTACAGCAATTAGAGAAAGTGGGGCTGATGCTGTTCACCCAGGATATGTAGGGCATATCTAGGGCCAGGGGACCCGAAATGTACGACCGTGGGACCGGCGAGGGACCTAATTTATGTGCCTTCCGGTCCCCAGCCCATTCGAGCTCACATAAGCACCAAAAACTCAAGTATTCGCAATTTCTACGAGTGTTATAAGTAAGACGTTTAACGAAGAACATATTGACAAAGAATTGTGCCTTTACGTTCGCATGTAGGCACAGGTCTGACTTTGGATGAGAGCAGGACACTTTGTCAAATTCACTGCTGGTCATTGTATTAGACTCGGTCGATATAAGAGTGTTTCACGCAAGTATGGGTACTAGCGAAAGGTAACCGCTCCGATGGCAGCGAGCACGATTGCGGTAACAGATAGAGGAGCAGCTGTGAAGGTCACAAACCCACGTGCGAGAAGAGCGTGGATGGTCAAGCAGCAAAGCCTCAGCAGGTACCAAACGGGTACATGTTTAGCGCAATCACAGAAGGCAGAAGTGTGGCGCCTCTCACGCGGCTCTCGCTTAGTTCGGTTCGCAGTCTTCTGTGTCCGCTGTGTTGCCTAGCCAGGGGCTGGGACAGCGCCCCGGTTGGCGTGAATGAGGGGGTGAGGCGAGCGCGGTGGAACAGACGGACGTAGAGCCACGCGCCCGCCCGCCCCTGTGTTTCGGCCCGGTCATAGCCCCCGGTGCTTGTCCTCTCTCGGGACGAGCCGCCCACAGTGTAACACCCCATCAGAAGCAGCGGCAGCTGGACAGAGCTCCCTGCCTCACGAGCACACAAAGCAAATCGCCTTGACGTGGTGGCAGCTGTCATAGGCTCATGATGGGCCGGGGCTGCCGTGTGAATCCCTGGCAGGCGCGCGACTTGCGCTGGGTGTGATCTGATGATGGGCCGGGGCTGCCGTGTGAATCCCTGGCAGGCGCGCGACTTGTGCTGCGTGTGATCTGATGATGGGCCGGGGCTGCCGTGTGAATCCCTGGCAGGCGCGCGACTTGTGCTGCGTGTGATCTGATGATGGGCCGGGGCTGCCGTGTGAATCCCTGGCAGGCGCGCGACTTGTCCTGCGTGTGATCTGATGATGGGCCGGGGCTGCCGTGTGAATCCCTGGCAGGCGCGCGACGTGTGCTGCGTGTGAAATCCTGCACACCCTACACTACACACATAACGCAATGCCCTCTAAGACCGAGAATTCATGCACTTCTTCACATACACTGAATGAATGAAGGTTACAGTGGACCCCGTGCAAGGTCGGTGCAATGCATCCCCGCATCACAATGCCCGAAAGTGAACAGTAGCTACAGCCCGCCAGCAGAACACCCAAAAATGCAGAGACACCCAGCGGGACACCACTACCAAACCGGGGGCAACAGCGACGCATCACAACTGCACCAGAAAATTATAAAGCAGGACTCGGGGAAAGTCGCCTACACAGGCACCTCAGGACACACTACCACAACCTACACACAGCCCTCCAAGGGGNTGGTGCTTGCATCAGCCAGAGCTTTGCTCGGCTCACCCGAGCAACCATCTGCAATTGAATTTGGCCCAGCGTGCCCAGGGCCACGGGGCAGGCCCAGGAGTGATGCTGCCGCAGGGTGGCTCCCCCACCACCCACCGCGGGGGTCCCGCGGAGGTCCCGCAGCCCCACCAGGCCACCACCGTGCGGCGCACGTGACAGTGTCGGAGATAATCGGTCACTTGTAATACGTTGTCCTGTGGAAAATGCAGTTCGTGCGACATGCGACTTGACTTGACCCGACGAGTTGACCTGCCGAACCTCTTTGTCATTGGAATCCTGGATGCTAGAGTGAGCCTCCATTGCATCTCTTGGTGTTTTCATGAGTGATCGATCGCTGCGTTGATCGATTGCGTTCGGTTCCGCAAGGTTCCGCTTGTTCTTATCTTTGGGTTCACCGTATTCTTGATGAATTTCGTAAAGCTTTTCTGGAGTTAGTTTTGGTTCTACTAACGCCACCACGTCAAAGTCTACTTTGACGAGCGGAGCCCCTTGTCCTATTATTATATGGACGCTCCTGTAGGGTTACTCTCCCGATTCTTTACGAAGAATGGAAATTGGATTGCTACTTGGCCATACAGAGTGGCTGCTCGCGCAAAGTTAATTCCTGGACTCCATGGACGTGCATCACTCCACAAAGTGCGTCGCCACTGCTCCTGCGACGCTCGAGCGACCTGAAAAAGTTCCATACAAAGGTCCTCTAATGAAATGTCGCGCGAGCCGACCAAAATCTGCGAGTTGCCAGGTCGAAAAGGTCGCGTCCCTGCGGGCGTCCCACTTAGGTCGCCCAGCTGGACGAGCGTGTACGGCGCCCGGTCCGCCGGCACCCGATATGTAAATTTATCTTACCCTGGAAAGGTATCTTTGCGCTCCGATTTATCTGAATTATCTCCTTTG